TTGGGCTCGGAGGGCCGTGGGGAGCTGGCATGGGGGCCGCCTCTGCTGCTTGGATTCGTCGCACAACGCGGAAAGCAGTCAATACTCCGGGTCAGAAGGGGACAGAAGAGCCCCTCCCCAACATAAAACCCACCCCCGATAAAACACCAAGAATGGCAAAATATCTCACCTGCTCCCAGGGAGTGGGGTGAGCGGGAGGAAATACGCCTGCTTGATCCTGGCACAGTTTACTGACCTCCTCCGCTTTATCTGGTCCCCTGTGGCTGGGGCAGGGGTAAACAGCAAAAAGAATCCGAAAAAAAAACAAATAGCATCGGTCAGGCGAGCAGGTGAAGGATTTCTGCAACTCCGGTTTTGAAATAAACGGAAGAGGAAGCAATGCACGCGCTGCTCCTTGGGATCTGCAACGTTTTCAGTCGATCTGTAAGCATATATGCAGGATGCAAGAACAGAGGTAGTGCGTTAGGATTTTTTCTTTATAATCAGGAGAATGTCTCAGGTGGGTTTCTCCCAGAGCAGAATATAAGCAGTAAAAATCTGATACCTGAGTTAAAAGCAGGGAAGAATCAGAGGTGTGCCAGACAGATTGGTTTGCAAGCCAACCTCGGAGGGACAACTCATGTTAAAAATGAAATTTAATTTCCAAATACAACAGAATGGAATCTTCTGTGTTAGACATGCAGTGTTTAAAAAAGAGATCCCAGTCAAAAAATGGTAACAATTCAGAAAACATCCTTCCTGCTCAAGCAGCAGACGGTGGTGGGCAAACTCTGTACAGCAGCAGCTTACACTAGAAGCAAAAAATGTGGATAATAATGCACCAGTTCCGCACAAGCAGCTTAGTTCTCCTTAAGGGACAGATTTTGTGTTGATGGCACTGTTACCAGGGAGTGTTGTTACCTAGCACCACAGCTAGTTGGTGGACAGGCAGGCTAGAGCTACACAGCTCCCTTCAGACTTGGCTCCAGTGGAGCAGATACTCTCAGACATGCCGCTGAAGTACTGACTCCTAGGAGTGGCTGAATTTGAGTCCCGTTTACAGTCAAGACCCTGTACAACCAGCCTTTTAAGCTGTCAGGATGTTTTACTTGTTTTCCAGGTGAAACCACTCCTGACAATGAAGCATCTGGCGGGAGGTGCAGAGGGTCTTCTGTCACCTCAGTGGAGTGTTCATTTTCAGAGTGCCCTCCTGTTTTTCTGGCATTACTCCTTTAATTGACGATGTTGCTGTTTAAAACCGGAAACATGAAGCCCAAATGTCTGTTCCCCAGTAACAAAGTATTCAGCTTGAGAAAATGAGCATAGGGAAGCCAACGTCTACCGCTTGCAGCAAAGAATGTCTCTCACTTCTGCTACAGCTTTACTCTTGTTGTTGTGGTTTGAATTTTCCTCACAGTGGGCTCTTCCTTATATTTTCTCTCCCTGGCTTTCTGAAGGCATCCAACTATAGGAAACCCGGCTTAAGTACAGCCCAGCGGAAGAAAAGTGGCTTGAAACCTGAACTAACAGAAGAGCAAAAGCAGGAGATCAGGGAAGCATTTGATTTGTTTGATACTGATGGATCTGGAAGCATCGATGTAAAAGAACTGAAGGTCTTCAAACTTTTTTTTTTCCTTGGGTAGAAATGTCTTTGGTCTCAAAATTGTGGCTGCTTTTTCTGTTTGTCCAGCCCTAACTATTTTCAAATAGTTTTGGAGTACAAGAGTAATGGCTTGCTGTCATGACTGAATCTGGGGCGTACTGCATGGTTAACCTGAGAAAGCTCGGTATCTAATACTTCAGAGGAGACAGGCGTCTCTCATACATGGATAGTAGGTCAGGTAGCTTGGAATACCTGAGCAGTAGAGGAACTAAACAGTTCCTGTGTTTAGGTATGCACAGTACACATTCCAGTTTTCCCAACTGGCTAAGATCATTGTTTTTGGGATGTGGACTTTTGTTGTTCTGGGAGGAATGTCAGAGTATTGGATTTTTTCTTCACCTCGGAAATAAACACACAGATTATGCACACCTTGAGGAAAGATACCACCATATTTTCATATGCATAATGCAAAAATTACCTAATTTTTAATGTAAAAAAACCCAAACCAGATCTGAGCTGCATTTCAGTAGCAATTCAAGTAGTGTATGTGCATGTGTGCATGATGTATGGACAGTAGTACAAGGAGAAGTTATTCTCAGTTCTCTCCCTATCTTTTACTGCTATCTGATCTTTTCTTTTCAGCATGAACTTTTTATCTTAATTATCTCCTTGACCTTGATTTCCGATATACACACACTCTGCCTCAATTTCTTCATATGAAACTTAGAAGCACGAGTTACCTAAGCCTGTGGCTTATCTCAGGATTTATTTGGAAGTACTTAGGCTTGGATAAGGAGAGCAGACATTTATAATCTGGATGCAGATGATCCATGTTAAAATACAGTTCTTAAAATGGACTGAAACATTTTAGATTTAACCATTTAATGCTGGTTTATTTTTTTCAAAATTAATTCAAAATAATGGCTATTTTACAATAGAAAGCGTTCCCCTCTGAAAGACTAAATGGAATGTTTTCAGTCATCCCATCGCAACAAACTGGTCAGAAAACAGACTTCAGTTAAATATAAAGTTTCTGGTGAGTTGGCACTTTCCAGTAGAAGAGTGTTTAGAGAGAGAGAAAATTTCTGCCCAGTATTAACGGTAGATTTCCACTAGAGCGTATGGGAAGAACGAATGTTCACGGTACAAATCCTCCTCCAGTTACGTTCTTGAAACGTCAAGTCTCTGAATTGAATATGCTGTTGCCATCTCTCACACCAGGATTGTGAAACTACAAACACACCCCCAAGTACCAAAACCACAGTTCCAGGCTGGTGAAATGCCAGAGCCTGGTTTTAAATAATGTTAATAGTAAGCACTTGTACAACAATCTACACAGCTGGTTTTACAGTAACACTTGTGCTCTGTAAGGCTCAGAAGGTTTGCTTTGCTTTTCCTCCGCTAGCACAGCAATCACTCTGATTTGCTGAGGCTGAGACACATACAGAGTATTGTCAGTTCCCACCATGTAGCCAGAAATGCCAAGAGCCGTGCACGTCTCTGTGTACTGAGTTGTGTGAGTTAACTGCACGTAATTCTGCACCTGTCAGATTTAACAGCCGTTCTGCCCTGATTTTCAAATGCAGTGAGATCACATCCCTGGTCTCCAACCTCCCTTGAAGTCCCAATCTGCTAATCCAGTCCCTTTAGGAACTCTGTAGATTGGAACCTTTACCTAACTCAGACACAAAAAGTTTCTCTTAGTTGCAAAAATACATCCATGTTCTTCCATAAGGAGAAAATATGTCCAAGTCTTAAGAATATCAAACCTACACTGTTACTGTTGGGGAGGATGAAACAAGCTGGTAAGAGATGGCAAGATGTTTTCATCGCAGTGAGTTACTACTACAGTTTTGGTCAAGGAAAAGAAACAAGTTCTAGTACAGCTGCTGTCACGGTGAGTCTGGTGGCCTCCTAACAGAACTGCTTGTTGGTGCAGGTTGCGATGCGTGCTTTAGGCTTTGAGCCCAAGAAGGAAGAAATTAAGAAAATGATAGCAGATATTGACAAAGAAGGAAGTGGCACCATTGACTTTGAAGACTTTTTGGCTATGATGACGCAAAAAATGGTAGGAATCCTTAACAGAATTCTTGTGACAGCATAAAAAATACTGGAAAGGAATCTCTCAGTGGCAGTTGTTTTCTCATGAACGTATGTTTAACTCTTGTTTTAGAGTGAAAAGGATTCCAAAGAAGAAATCTTGAAAGCTTTCAGATTATTTGATGATGATGGGACAGGAAAAATTTCATTCAAAAACTTGAAGAGGGTTGCCAAGGAGCTGGGAGAAAATTTAACAGATGAAGAGCTTCAGGTAAATTCTGATTTGCCAGAGCTTTGCTAACAGGCACAGACCAAACCCGTAGCTCCTAAAGATTGGGTGGAAATTCATGCCCATAGAAAAAGGGCTGAGAGGTCAGAAATACAGAGAACACTCAAGTACTTAGTTATGTTTTCACGTGAAGTGCTTCTATTTTTTGTTGTTTTAATTAATGGAAGATCTTGTGTTTAGAGTCCAGAGCCTGATCAAATGTGCAATGTGTTTTGTAGGAAATGATTGATGAAGCTGATCGAGATGGAGACGGAGAAGTCAGTGAGCAAGAGTTTTTGAGAATCATGAAGAAAACCAGCTTATATTAATATCTGTTGCCTTGCTATACAGCTGCTCCAAAAGATAACCTGGAAAAGACTTAAAAACTGGGCTTGTGTCTCCTGCATATTTTCTGCCATATAAAGAATGTCTGAAGGGACAAATTTTTGGTTCATTCTTCTTTTTCAGCAAAGATTACTGGGGAAGGGGGGCTTCAGTACCCAGAACTGTTAAAATGAGACGTTGCAGAAGTGAAAAGGAAGGATGAAGGGAACCTGCAAGGCAGGGTCCCTCCCCCTTGACAATTTCACTGATTGCCATTTTGGGTAGAGAACACTGTTGCAACTATTTAACTGAAAGACATTTCACTTGGGATGTGAAGGTTTCCACTGCTGGTGGGAAAGGCCGCTTTTGACTTTCCCAAGGCTACAGAAGGAAGGTACAAGCACAGTATTTTTATTCCTTTTAAGGCTTTTAGGTTATCTTTTGTTATTTGTCTCCTTCTGTTTATTTCCATGAGAGACTCTAAAACCAATTGCCTTTCTGTATTTCTGTAGGAAACACTGTTTTCCCATGGCAAGTTGGTTTTGGACCTAACGGGAAGCAAATGTAGATAACCAGATTTGGTACCTCATTTGGAGCTGTGTGCCATCAGCAGATGTTCTGTTTATCTGATCATCCGAAACCCATTTTGCTTGAGTGTAACCTGCTTGGATTAGCTTACTGTATCACCAGTCAGCATCTTGTGCTGTTGTTCTCACTCCCAAGAAATTACAGAGCTGCTGTTGTACCCGAGTTTTAGGCACCTAAAAAGTTCAGATCTGTGTCACGCTGGGGTAAATCCTGCCTTTGGCTGTTTACAGTCAGAGGCAGACAGCACTAGCATCTAAAGTGGAAAAAATAGCTCCCCGTGGACATCTGTGGAACACGGAATGTATTTAGATCCATGCAATCCAAATTCATTTTGGGCATCACACGTTTGGTGGTTTTCTGGTTGTGGGTTTTTTTTAGGAGTACCTTCATTTTCTTGAATATTTCCTACATACACTGTCAACCTCGGACTGACTGGAGAGGCACCTTTCCTTCTGTATGATGGTGACAGAGCAGCGACACAACGTGACATCCCATTGAGTGGTCCCACAGGAGGGTTTATCCTTGGGCCCTGATTAGACAATCAGCTGCCAAACTGCGGGGAAGTGGTATAATCCCGAGTCACGTCCCTAATCAGGCACCTGAGGAGAGTTTGTTACTGCTCACAGCTTAAGTGCCAAGCAGGGGGCGAAACGTCAGAAGGGTTCGGTGGGAAGAGGGGGGATTTCACCAGTACCTGTTAAGATGCCTCTTCAGGCCGCTGCTGCTCCACGGCACAGTGCGGTTTGTAGAAGGAAGGAAGAGCCAGCTCCTGGAGTAGCTCCTTATTGCAGCTGCTTCAGCTCTCCTGAGCTCTAAGGTCCCAGCAGGGAGAGAATAGTTTCAGGAGCGGGAAGGAGAAGTGTTCGTGTACCTGTCGTCTTCTCAGCGTGCAGATGGGGACCTGGCACATTCCACCCCGGTCCTCCCAGTTGGGTACTCTGAATAGGCCGTCTCTAACCTGTATGGAAGCAGGTGAAACCTGTGGGAGAACACGGATTGTGTAGGACCCCGCACGAGACCTGTGGCGCCCCCTCGTAACGTGTTCAGTGGCAGTAGATGTAACCTCTAGGGCTGTATAAGCGTTTTAAAACATCTGTTAACTTTGTATGAGTGTGAAATAAAACTGGTTTGCAGGTTAAGGCCTCTGTGTGCTTTAAAACTTGGTGTGTTTGCTATGAAAACTGAATTTTCAAAGAGAGCTTTGTGGCGTTAAACGGTTCGCCAAGTGCCTTTTTCACTTTCATTTATCTTTTTTTTCCGAGAGAGAGATTCTTAGGTGCAGTAATCTATCACATAATTCCTCTCCCTCTTCCACTCTGCTGATTAAAAGTTTCTAGTACTAACCGCTTCTGTTCAGAAAGGGAAATTGGAAGTTCTTGTTGATGATGGGGAATCGCAGAGCCTGTTAAGAGTGACTGTACTATTTTTAATGTGGCCACAGGAAGAGATCGATGACTCTTGCTTACCTATGATGCGCGTCGCTCCTCTCTTCCTGTTCCAATCCCATTACCTGACTTCAGAGGGTGGGCAAAAGACACGCAGTCATACCTCCCACGTACGCTACGACGACGAAACGTTATTTCTGGCTCGCCCCTTAATCGCGTACGCCTGGAATGTCGAGCGGTGGCTGAACCAGCACCAAACTCTCAAGACGAGCCTTGTGCTGCTTCAGTCTGCACCACAGCGAGGGCTAACGCGTCCCCACTTCAGCCCCGTGAACCGAGCATGACAGCAGCACCGGCAGCAACCCCCAGCAGCGCTGTGGCTCAGCATCCATCATTTGCGGTGCCCCTGTGAATCCTTCCTGTCCCTCCCAGAACTGTCTTTCACGTTTCTATACGTGGTGGAAGGAAGAGGAGCCCGACGGACGCCCAGGGCATGACTTGGGAGTTAGGTTTGTGCGAGGAGCAGGTGCCGAGCTGCCCACCCGGCACTTTGACCGCGCTGGAGAAAGTGACTCAGACCAACGAACGGGAAGGCACCCAGTGGACGTTCTTCCTGCGCTCGGTTCTAGTGCCTGCTCAAGCAGCTTCCCAAGGGGTGGATCACTTGCACCCCTCTCCTCTTCCCATTCACTCTAGTCTCAAAAATAAGAGCTGGGGCACTTCCAGGAGACACAGATTCAACTCCTTTGCACTAAAGCACCAAAAAGGAGGCAAAGCAGTGTTGGGGTTGCCGTTCATGGAAGGACCCATCGCTGAAGGCACCCGAATTCAGGTGGGCATCAGTGTGGGTGCATACCAACTGGCACCTGGTGCAGAGGGGAAGGCTTCAGCCCCAGCCCTGCTCCGTGTTTCCTACGGACTGTTCTGGCAGCTCTGGGGGCGGGGGGAGGCAGATGGCGGTGAGCCTCATCCTTTGCATCCCTTTTCCTCTCCATGCAGACAGGGAGGCTGGGTTCTCACCCGGCATTTGCAAACTTCCCTGGATGGCTGCACTTCGGACACTGCAGTATGTGCATCCAGCTGAGACCCTTCTGCGACATCAGCGAAGCCCGGCTTTCAGTCTGAGTGTTCGTACAGGCACTGTACAAAAAGGAATGCGGAACTGCACTTAGTATTTGGCAAGCGCTGAAATATCAAAGCCTTGACAAGGGCGATAGCTGCTTGGGGAATAATGACAGAATCGCTTAGGTTGGAAAAGACCTTTAAGATCATCAAGTCCAACTGTTAATGTGACACTGCCAAGCCCACCACTAAACCAGGTCCCCAAGCACCAGTTCTACTCACCTTTTAAATATCTGGATGAGGATTTGAGCAACATGGTCGAATGAAAAGGTGTCCCTGCCCATGACAGGGGGGTTGGAACTAGATGGTCTTTAAGGTCCCTTCCAACCCAAACCATTCTGTGATTCTGATTCTACCTCCAGGGATGGTGACTTCCAATGAAAAATGGTTTTAAATGAAACTGTACTGGGTTTTTAATAAAATACAAAATAGTTCAAGAGAGAAAAATTACTTACAAGTTATATTCCAAAATATGCTAACTCCCTGGCAGTTTCAAACTAACCTTTGCTATTATCTCCCTTGTGCAACTTTAAGTTATCATCTCTCTACCCTACAGTACAGCCCCACAGTAAAGCAAATCTTTAGTTGGCTTTAGAAAAATGAAACAACGCATGACTATGTGTGCAAAGATGTTTTAAGCAATCTGAGCTGGCAACTTGAGACGCTGCTTCCCACCACACCACAGTGAAAAGGAGATAAAGGCAGCAATCTTTAAGGCCGTGCGCTTCTTTGCAGTTATGCCCTGCCAGAGGTGTGTAGAGCAGCAGGCTGGCCAGGCACAGGGCACTGCAATGGAGTGGAGGAATCTTGCACTGCTTGAGCAGCTCATGGGGTTAACCGGTAACGAGTGCTACGCTCTCACTTCCCTAGGTGTGGGTTTGTTTTTGGGGCAATAAGCATGGGGTCAGCATCTAACATGGCAGAAAAATACGGCTTCTTTTCAGGTAAGCCTAATCTTGGTATTTAAAAGAGTACACCCTTCGTGTACTTCCACATGCCAAGAGTCCTACTAACAGAGTCCAAATATTTCAACGAACTGATGAGGCATTTAATATTAAAATATTTAAATTGGTCACTTGGAGTTCTGAAGAATAACTCGAGTCCTGCAAACTGCCTGGTAAAGTCACACCACATATTTGAAATGCGAAGTATTAATTCCTCGGAAACCTCCTCACTGAGTTCATATAAATCAAATGTTGCCACACTGCATCTGCTTTTAAACAGCTCTGGGTAGCACAAGCGCATTTGGAAAAAGACTCGGAGAGCGGAAAGCGCTCTGGGCCAGAATTCACCATTGCCACGTTTGACACAGGGAAACACTGGTGGAACACATTTTTCTGACATGGGTTAAATCCTTCCGTGACCCCATAAAAACCCTGCAGTACTCTACTACTTAAACCTCTTCTGTGTGCCGGCTGGCAGTCTTTGCAAGCTTATCGGCAGGATGTATGGCCTTTAGGTGGTGCATTTTTTGCAGATATCCATTCTCCCAAAAATACCAGTGTTAAAGCCAAATCAGGACCATTGAGTCTGCACCCAGGTATTGTTGCCAGTGGCCCTTCTGCTCACTCAGAACTTACTCTCCCTGCTACTGCTGTTTGAAAAGTACTTCTCTTTCCTTACACAAAGGAAGATGAGAAAAATACTGCTCCTGAGATGTTTTGTTTCAAAACTGAGTTATATATGCTAACAGAAACTGGCCCCAGCTGTCTGACATGTTTTACAGAAGTCAGGCTGGGAGATCAAACAAGCCGATAGGGATGTTCTTCAGACATCCTTCAACACGGGTGACCAGGCAGGAACAACCCGTGTGCCTCCTGGCACCGGGCAGCAACAAACTGCCTGGTCTACAGGCTGGGATGACACTGGAGGCAAGAACCCCTGTGAGAGTAACCCTGCAAAGACAGCTTCCTTGTTGTCATATGCATCAATACAAGTAGCACAGCTGTGGGTGGACGGTCACGCCAAACAGCAGCACTCTGTGCCAGTGCACAGGGCGCTCAGGCACACGTCTCTGACCAGGACTGCCCCTTCGCTACAGCCCAAAGCTTCTGTGAAAGTCTCTGCTCAGTGGGCATAAAATTCCGCTGTCAGTGGGCATTACACACCCTGCTGAGCTACAGGATGCACTCCTGAATTTCTACGTTAAGGAAAGGTGT